TAACGAAAAACTGAAAAACTCGTGGTGTAGCTGTATGACCTATACTTAATCCGACCTATATTAAACTCCTTCTTAGGTGGATCGGTGTCAAGAATGACCGATGTTGTCGAGAAAACACGATCAGGAACGATATTTATTCGACCACTACGAGATATCACTTCTGCAGAAATTGCGACGGCACTTCGTTTAGAGAATGTAGAAAACTACGCTCTACCTGAGCGGGAAGTAAGTTTTCCCTATATTCGAGTTTAATCTCATTATCATACAATTTCTTTGTTCCTTTCATCATGCAGATGTAATTTCAGGGTGCATCAATTCCCAGCCTTCACCTATGCGAGGCATCGAAGACGGTATCTTTGCAGGAAATGTCTTCTAAATTCCTTACTCACTTTGTGGAAGAAGGATTTGAGGTCAGTCGCAGATCGAGATTTTGATACAGTATGGTAGTGAATGCCGTCCTTCAAACCATCAGACCTCGTTTCTTCCTCTTTTGGTATCTAATGGCCTAGGCCCGTGCTGTGGCTAAAACGACAAAAAGCACTGGCCAGGCCAACCTAGGGTACGACTACTCACAAAAGCACGTTGTTGTTAATGCCAAATTAGAGAATTGCTCGCAGCAGTGTTTGTCCGAATCAGCCAATGCGCGATTCTTTCATCCACAAGTAATGAGTCCCACTTTCCAAGCTTTTCTCGAATAAGTCAATACAAAAAAATTTCGAAAAATTGGAAAGTTGAGCTCTAATTCCTTTATCCCAGAAATCTATAAGAAAAATTTGCAAAACTGGAGAAGAGTTCTTATTTTTTCTATACATCCCGAAAATCCAAACTTTTTATCTCACGGAGACACTTTGCGTGACGGTCAGCTGACGTGCTGATCTTGAAATGTTTTCCGTGGGGTTATGGGGGGTCAACAGGCTTGATTGCTATCCCAGACTTCGTTTTAAGTTTGCATGAAGGGGTTATTCAGCGTGCTTATGACGAATATCATATCCATTTCTTAAAGCGAAGCCTCAGCGTTTGATTGAGATGGGATAGCATACCATGTACTTTCTGTATACTGCGATAATAATCTCTTCAAAGATTTGAAGTGCTTTGGGTTTATAAGACACTAGACATATGCTGTTCTTTGATTCAACCAGATAGGCGGCTGATAGGCGGGGTTTTGTGACCTAATCAAGGCTAGAGAGTGATCAGAAAGCATGCTCGCGGGAGAGAGGGAGCGAGCGGCCGCCCTTTCCAGCTGCTTATTCCATTGAACAGTACATCCACAAAGAAGGCCCTACCGTGCTATATGAATAGGCATTTCATAATCGGCGTGTGATACTCTCATGGCTCAGCGTCATTTAATTTTTCGCATTTTTGTTTTCGTAAAGTGAGTGATATCCTAATGCAAAAAGAAAGAGCCTCAGCAGTGGTC